TCGCCATACCAATTTAAGGTGTGCCTCGGGGACTGGTGGCTTGTACTGTGGTACTATATATTAAAGTGTTGTGTGTGGGGGTACTATATTATAAATTGTGGGGGGGGGTAGGCCTAACATGGGCAGATCATCGCCGTACCAATCTAAGGTGTGCCTCGGGGACTGGTGGCTTGTATTGTGGTACTATATATTGAAGTTTTTTTTAGGAAAGGGGAGGGGGGGAGGAGGATGTATTTATATAGCAATAGCCCGTATGCATCCCGCAAGCGCATACGTGTGTGTGTGTGTGGTGGGGGTGGGGGGGGTTCATTGTTTCAGGGTTTTAGGGTTTCATAAACCAGTGCGTGTGAGTATATATATATATACTGCAAGGGGTATATGCCGCGGCCTATGGGAGTCTCGGCTGTCCAACTACCACACTCCTCCTGAGTGTGTGGGTGTGGTGTCGTGGTTTGTGGATATGCACCTGTAGCTCTACCTACCTAGGTACCTATGACGCAGAATGCACCAAGTGTTGGATAGTTCGCCCACCAATGGGGTTTTAGGGTTTAGGGTTAACCACCGGATCCATATTATCGCTGTAGGGGTATTACGGTGTGGGCGACTGAGTGTTCTGTGTACAGCCTATGCTCGTATTGTGTTTATGACAAGTGCAAGTGACTTGACACTCCACCACTCGCCGATGCCCATACAAAGTCTTCGCCTCAGCGAACGCGCGTGACTGTACTATCTGATAGTTATACCTATCACATTTATACATCGGCTGACTTGCATCTCAGCATGCGGTTTGATACATGCCAACTTTTCACATAAGCCGTACATACATACAGACACACCTACACACACATATACACAGACACACCCACATACACACATGCACACCGCTGTCTCGATTACACCCGTACATACATCGGATGTATTACCACTCAGAGTGCAGTTCACTACACGCTTACTAGCTACTCATCCCGTACATGAAATGATACACACACACACTCACACACACACACACAAGTTACACTCTCTAACACGCACACTCTCTCTAACACACACACTATCTCTAACACACACACTATCTCTAACAGACACACTCTCTCTAACACACACACACTCTCTCTGTGTGTCGTACATTCATTTACAGGGCAATTACACTCTCTAACACACACACACTCTCTCTCTCACACACTCTCACTCTCTCTAACACACACACTCTCTCTCGCTAACACGCCCACACACACTCTCTCTCTCGCACAGTCATCATTACAGGGCAACTACACTCTCTAACACACCCACTCTCTCTCTCTCACACAGTCATCATTACAGAGCAACTACACGCTCAAACACACACACTCTCTCTCACACAGTCATCATTGCAGGGCAACTACACTCTCTAACACACACTCTCTCTCACACACACGTCATCTTTACAGGGCAACTACACTCTCTAACACACACACTCTCTCTCACACACACGTCATCTTTACAGGGCAACTACACCGCAGCCACCAGTCCCAACACACTCGGCGCCAGCTTAGCCGAACAGCACCACCTCAACGTAGCGTCTGATGGCATCCAACGCAACGTCTCCGCTCCTCATGTGAGTGCCTTCGGCGTTGTATATGTCAAGCCAGGAGGACAGGCGTACTTGTGCTATGTGTCACATGCGCTTGTGCCATGTGTCACATGCGCTTGTGTCATGTGTCACATGCGCTTGTGTCTTGTGTCACATGCGGGCTAAACTGTGGGTGTCCGTGTTGTACTACCCTTGCCTGTGTGGGTTGGTGATGGGTGGGGTGCGAGTGTTCTGCTACGCTCTCTGTGAGTTCTTACTGTTGTGTTTGAGTTGGGTTAGGGTTTGGGCTAGGGTTTGCTTGTGGTGTCTGTGTTGCGTGGTGATGGGTGTATGTGTGGCTGTGGCAAATAGGCAAACCCCTAAACCCTGTGGGAAGTAGGCACTATTTGTCTTGTTGGGCTTGTTAGAGCATGTGCATGGGGGTGCGTGGAGTGGACTCAGTAAAACGTGGTTATTCAAGCACTTCCCTGTGGGGGAGTGCTCGTTGCTGGATAGGAACTTTACGTCTCACACTGTAGTGAAGTATAATATATATATATATCTATGTATATTTATATATAGCATGTAGGTATGTATGTATATATGTATGTATATTTTTATATACATCTATATATACATTTATGTATAATGTACAATGTATATGTATGGTATATATATATATACTGTAAGTGTGTGTGTATGTGTATGTGTCTTTGTATGTAGCTTACTGGAATGTTGTGGCATGAGGACGGCTTCGAGTGATACACACCGGTGCCACGACCACGGGCTTTCTCGTATAGGCATATATCTATACTCCATGTGAGGTATATATATATATATATATATATATATATATGTGTGTGTGTGTTGTGTGTATGCATAGTTA